ATTTATAAATTCCTTATTATTTTCTCAAGTCCACTGAGTTACTTCCAATTTAAAAATGCATATAATGGCCCTCCTCCTTCACCTTTTTATTCTTTATTTGCTAAGTTTTCCAATTCTCACTTCAGATCCTTCTGGGTCCCAGGGACTCACTTCCCTCCTTCTTCCCTTCCTCACATTGCTATATTCCAGTGTTTGGACACCAAATCTCAGAGAGACTCTTTCTCTGCTGCTCACCACTCTGCCATTTCCTCCTTACTTTTCTTATGAGTAGTGTTGACAAAAGATCTCCAATGCATCTGTAATTTCTAAAATTCCATTATCTATAATGAGGCTATTAAGGATTAGGAATGCATGGGCTTTTCCATAGACTAAGCTATGATATGGGGGAACATTCAGGTATAAGATGTTGATTCCCTCTACTGCAGGCCCTTACAGAGCTGGGGCAATTGTCTGTAAAGCTCCTCAGAAAATCTGATGATGAATGAGAGCTCGAGCCATTCACCTTTGGCCAGCACAAGTCACTGGACCACATGGCCTAAAGGATAAGGATGAGCTGACTCTAGGTTAAGTAGGAACCAACATTCTGTGGGGAAAATTAGTATTCATATTAATGAATAGAGAAATATGTATTTAATTTGCAAATGACAATAAACAAGCATGGAGGGGAGAATTAATATTTTAAAAAACTTAGAGATTAAAGGAATTGTCAGAAACCAGTAATATAAGGCCAGAGATGAAAAACCCATTTACCATACTTTGAGAAGAAAGAAAAACTTTAATAAAGGTTAAGGCTGTATGTTAGAAGAAAAAAACCCAATTGTTACAGTGGAACTAGAAAACCCATACTAGACCAGGAGGGAAGTATGAGAACTGCCAAGGCCATCCATTCTTTGCATGGTTCTGAAATGTAGGAATTTTAGTCCCTAAATACAGAGATAAAGTTTCAGCTGCCATGGTAAATTAACTGTAATTACTTAAAGAACACACTCAGCTGGGAGCTCTTCAGTTCACAAACCACAGCATAACTTACAGATGTGCATCATGACCAATGGCCTATCTTTACTTCCTTTACAGTGTGTCCAGGACTGTGA